TTGCTTGATCCTCTTCCTGCTGGCTCCTCTCCTCGTCCTCCTTCGCCTCTATCCCCGCTTTCCTTTTCGCCCTCGGTTACCCTTGCCAGCATGACCACCCCTCATGTGATTGCCTCCTCCTCAGGTCACCATTCCCAGTCCGCAACTTCCAATGGTGTCGTGGGCAATCACTTCAGGGTTGGGAAGAAGATTGGGGAGGGCTCCTTTGGTGTTGTCTTTGAAGGTACGGCAGATATGGATAGTGGGAGAGGGCGGTGGAATGACCTAGGGATTGCTTCGCGCAGGCACGAACATGCTCAACAACCAGCCAGTCGCCATCAAATTTGTATGTGACGCAATGTCGTTGGCGGAGCAACGTCGCGCAGTCTCTGACTCTTGTATGGCGACTAGGAACCACGCAAGTCTGAAGCCCCACAGCTGCGAGACGAGTACAGGTCCTACAGGACTTTGAACGGCACCCGTGCGTCTTTCCTCGGTTTCCATATACGCTAGCGTAGCACTCCGTACTCATACGCCTCTTGTCTGGTGATATAGCGGGTGTACCCCAGGTTCACTACTTCGGACAGGAGGGCCTGCACAATGTCCTCGTCATTGACCTTCTCGGCCCCAACCTCGAAGACCTCTTTGACATGTGCGGACGCAAGTTCAGCATCAAGACGGTCTGCATGGCTGCCAAGCAGATGGTGGGTGTCCATCTCGGAACTTGCATTGCGGGGCGCAGCTCGATGCGGGCTGTCTTGTGGACGTTGTCCTTGAGGTCTGCACCGTGTCTGCTATCGCACGGGTCACCTCCGTCGCTATCGGCTTGTAATCGGGTGCCGGCGCCTACACCTCCGCCGACGCGGAGCGCTTCCAAGTGTCGCAAGGCGGTCGGCCTCGCTTACGAGCTCGCAGACTGCCGTTCGGCTACCGTCTCTGCGCTCATGTTCCAAGCTCTCATGCATGGAAGACTCACCCTGCGTGTCTGAATTATAGGTCACCCGTGTCCAGTCGATCCATGAGAAGTCCCTCATCTACCGTGACATCAAGCCCGACAACTTCTTGATTGGTGTACCGGGTACTAAGACGGCCAATGTCATCCACATTATCGGTGAGTATATGCGCTTGGTGTTCTTGAACCTTTCCCATGACCTCCGACTGCCTTGCCTTGTCTGCTCCGGAGTCCATCTCCTTTGTGGCTGATGGTGACCCCTCCGTGGTGAACGATCCGCTGACATTCCTCCCAGACTTCGGCATGGCTAAGCACTACCGGGATCCCAAGACGAAGGTCCACATCCCATACCGCGAGCGGAAGTCTTTGTCAGGCACTGCTCGTTACATGTCCATCAACACCCATTTGGGACGCGAGCAGTCCCGCCGTGACGATCTGGAGTCACTCGGGCACGTATTCATGTACTTCCTGCGAGGTGGCCTGCCCTGGCAAGGTCTCCGTGCTGCCACCAACAAGCAGAAGTACGAAAAGATCGGCGAGAAGAAGCAGAGCACCCCGATCGAGGAGCTCTGCGAGGGCTTCCCTGGTGAGTCTGGCGCCTTACCTATACAATCGCGGCTCGACTGACGGCACCGCAGAGGAGTTTGCCATCTACATGAACTACGTCCGCAAGCTTGGGTTCGAGGAGACCCCTGACTACGACTTCTTGCGGGAGCTGTTCACGAAGGTGTTGAAGACGCTCGGCGAACCCGAGGATGGCGTCTTCGACTGGATGCTTCTGAACGGCGGCAAGGGCTGGGAAGCGGGCCATGTACGTCACTGTCTCGATGCATATATCCACTTACTGACGCTCAAGCAGACCTCGGCCCTCCTGGCGTCCGCACACGGTGGTACGCCTCACACGCCCCACCGCGAGCGTCATCGCGACCGCGAACGCGCACACAGATCCTCCCGGAATGCCCTGCAGGAAGGCGCGCCTTCACCCTCGTCTCCGCTTGTACTTGCGCCCACTCCCGCGCATGTCAAGAGCAGCAGCCGTCGGCCCCACGACGCCTCGCGCGGTGGGTCGCGCGAGCATGTCAGCGTGCAGCCGCTTGCGCCCCAAAGCCGCCGCCAAAGCCAGCAGCACGTCTCCCGCGGCGAGCGGGATAGCGGCCTCGTCGCTCCCCACCCATATGCTGCGGCACCCAGCTCGGGTGGCTACCGCACAAATGCGTACGGCCGGCAGTCGCCTGTGCCACCGAACGGGACTCCCAACGGCAACGGCGCCAGTCCCCTTCAGCAACACCCGAACAACTCGGAGTCGTTCATGTACGGCCAGGGTGGTCAGGGCAAGAACGGCACGGCGAGCCGGGAGGGGACGACGAATGGCACTGGTGCAAGACAAGACCAGATGAACGGCCAAGGCACGCGCGGCATGGGCCTGTACGACCGGGAGCAGATGGAGCGCGTCGGAGAGCAGGGCGAGCACGGTGGTGGCAGGAAGAAGGGATTCTGGGCTGCATTCTGCTGTCGGGCATAAGGACTTGCGTTGCCTCGGCGCGCACCGGCTGCGCGGATCGACTTGTACGTATGTTTGGGTTTAGCGTTGTATGTCGCGCTGATGACATGTTTGGCTTTCTATGTATGTGTAGGCTTGCAGATGTCTCCACTTTTTACGCCTCTGACGACCCCGCGAACGACCATACCTTACCGCACCTCCTCCTAGTGATCGCATGCTCTGAGCGTTCTCTGCACACCACGCCCCTGGCTCTCGCTCTCCGCACTCTGACAATGGCCGGTTGACGACCCCGCGACGACGTCTATATATACACATCTCCGCATACACCTGCACCACCCCGCATACCCTTTCATTCGCCTGTGTATATTCGCTATCGCTATCCCGGGTTGGCGCCCCTAATCGCATACTTGGAAGTCTCGTCCCCCATCGTCTCTACCCCTCGAATATGGTTTGGTTCGCGCTCGCGCTCTCTCGTCGCTCTGGTTCCGGCCCAAAGGACCCCGCCGCTCCTTCCCTCTCTTCCTACTTACCGTCTCTCATCACGCCTCGCGCGTTCCAAAGTTCCATATCCCCTTGCGCTCTATGGTCGGTGTCGCGCCCTGAGTAGTCGGGGTTGCCTACACCGCCGGAGTCCCTTCTATCTCACATCCAGAAGCTAGCGTAGACCGCTCGTGCATCCCTTTCCTTCTCTCTATCTCTGATTGGTTTGACTTATTTTCTCTCGTCCGTGCAGTCCATGCCACATGTCCGTAGTCATCGACCGAATACTAGCAATTGCAGCAAAGCCATACAATATCCTGACACGGGCCTGTCGTACATGCGAGCACCTTGCTGCTACGAGCCCCATACTCCTTCAACGCATCCAATAAGCAGGACAGTTCTTGCCGCTTCAGGCTGCGACTGATGTGCACCTCCATCAGCTCGACTGCAACGCATGTATCGACCTCCCTCCTGCTTCGCCAACGTCGAAATTCCAGCGTCCCTATTGGCGCGCTCTCCCGGGCCGGTGGGGATTGTACGCGTGACCTGACGCGTAAGCTGTGACGTTATGGACGCTTTACAGCCGCAGCGTGCGCGACGCGCGCGCGAGTCTAGGACGCGTCTCGAGTGCGTCCAGCGTCGATACGGAAGCCCGCCGCGGATTGCTCAATTCAATGGACGCGGGCAAGTCTCGGTCACAGGCGGCGAGACACAGATGTGCACGGACCAAGCGATGTCGATGAGCAGGCAGGAGCAAGGGGCGATGTACAGTCTATGCATTACGGGCGGGATATGCTGGGCATGGTGACAACAACGTATTCGTACAACTACTCATCGTGCGGGGGCATATACAGACACAGTGCAAACAGCGGCGAGAGCGACCTGCGATTATGAAACATCCTGATTCCCTGAAACCCCTCCCTTCTCCTACAACAGCGACGGCGACCAGCGGAGACGAGCGCGTCCCGCTCACTTCCGTTCCTTCCAGGCGTGGTCGACGCCCGCTTTCGAGAACTTCTCGGCGTGCTCGAAGAGCGGCGGGGGGTTGCTGTCGGGGAGCTCGCCGGCCTTGCCCTTCTGGGTACTCGACGCGTCGGGCAGGCCCTGGCCGCCGTAGCTCCCGCCGCGCGCGTGCATCTCCCCGGGTGCGTCTCTGTAGCGCAGCGCAGCGCTCTCGCCGACGCCCGCTTCGTTCCGGGGGACCTTCTCGGTGATGGGGTGTGCGAGCCCCGGCGCGGTCGACGCGTGCTGCGCGCCCTCGGGCACGGGGGCCTCCGTGCGGGTGTAGTTCTGGTAGGGCGCGGACGTGGGGTATGCGCCGGAGGGGACCTCGTACGGCGTGTGCGCGGGGTCGGGCTCGGAGACGACGTAGGTGCGGTGCCCCGCGGAGCCGGCGAAGGGGTCGGGCGAGTGGTCCGCCTGCTTCTCGTAGAAGCTGCTGCCGGCGGAGGAGGACGCGGCGGGCGGGGTCGTCAAGGGCGACTGTGACGTGGAGAGGACGGCGAAGGGGGAGTGGAACGCGCGGGATGTGCTGGGGACGCTGCGGGATGCGTTCGAGAGGGCACGGGCGTGCTTCGAGAGGGCGCGGAGGGCGGTGGACATGGTGCTCGGTGGTTCGTTGGCGACGTGCGCGGCTTGGGTGTCGGTGAAGTTGTGGTATGGGAAGAGAGGGAAGCTTGGGCTGCTAGGCTAATAGGGGCTCGGGTGGGGCTTTTGGGGAGCGGGGGACGCGTGAGTTCACACGAATCACGGTGCGCGGTCTGGGTGGGGTCACCGCTATATTGGGCTCGGCAACGGCCACCTCAGCGCACTCTCGTACCATCTCCTCCGCATCCCCACTCGCATCCGAACCTCTTCCCATGTTTCACTACCAGGGGGATCCCCAAACATCCGTCGCTGTGCCCTGGCTGTGTCTTGGGCGTGGGCGCGTTACTGGACGCTGGAAGCCTGGCACTAGTGAGCTCAGACTACCCCGCACAGTCGATCGCTGCTCGCGGAAGGTTCCGCGCAGATGTTCCATTCAACGAACGTGTCTTGAGCAAGGTCAAGCGGTACGAATCTCATGACATGCAATGTGTTAGCTAGCAACCTTCGATAGCTCAGTTGGAAGAGCGTGAGACTGTAATCGGGTACTCCCTTCACATCCTCGGATGTGAAGACATCTCAAGGTCCCTGGTTCGAACCCGGGTCGAAGGATTTTTTTGTGCCACATTTCGCCTGTTCTTCACCTCGATGAGCCCCGTTCGAAGTTGGTGGACAACCGATCGCACCTCTTTCCGATCGTCCAGTTTGACAACTCTGTGGCGGGCACTGTGCAGATATAATCCCACGAGTCACTTCTATAGCTAGGTACTTGCTGGCCTCGGATTTTTCCTGTCTAGGATGAAGTTCGAAGCCCTCAGCACTACGCCGACGCCTTGGCCCGAGTACCTTGCAAACTCGGACCGCCATGCATCAGCATACACCGCCAAACCAGACAGTGCACCGTCACTCTTTATGCCGCCGAGACTCGGGGTGGACTGTACTACTCGTGTACTGCTCCTTCAACTATCTTGCACTACGAGAATCCGCCAAGCGACGCGTTGGTCGTATGGATCATTAATCATACCCGCTGCACTACTCAATTGGCATAAGGTCCGTTGAATCCTTGCAATCGTCAGCGATCCACTAACGTCGAACCTACATGGCCATCTACCAGTAGTCCTCGTACCACTTGCTGCCCCAGGCGCAGTAGCAGCTATCTGGCAGTCGTCGGCGTGTGCTGATGTTGTCACGACGGGTTGCGACATTTTCTGGGCTGTAATATCGGGCGGAAGGGTCGTCTGACCAGCGCGATCCCACAGTTTCCCCGGACCCATCCACAGGGATACTTCCTTCGGCCAATCAGCAGCAGTGCCATCTTACGTATCCCTCGCGTACACTCACGGCATTGAATTTCGCACCTTCTTGGGTGTTCATGTGGGCGGAGTTGCTGCACGCCTTGGCCCGGACCCCTTGCGACCAGGGGGCGGGCTGCTTACAGGCTGCACCCGCGATGCAAGGATGGTACGTAACTCTGCAACTGTTCCCGAGCTGAACTGTGGATCTCACAGATTGCCTTGCGGATATGCATCCAGCCCTCACACGCGAGGGACGCGACTGGAAGCCCTTGGAAGCCCATCGGGGTACTTGATAACCGGCGGAGAGGGACGATTTCACCATGCCATCGCGGTGCGCGGTTCCAAATTCAACGGAGGTGCGCGGAGGTATCTTTCGAGCCAGCTCGCTGATGCCTGATGGGGCCTGTCCTCGACGCCGATAGGACGTTGTGATCTGTCAGCGATTGCTGCTGCGGGTTGCGAGAGGCGAGGGATCCAGAGGGCTCGCACCGGCGCACGGTGCACATCCTCGCCCCCGTCCCCGGGCCCGTCTATATACGTATGGGCCGGCAAGCGCCGCGGTGATGGCTCCGCTCCCAGGCTACCGCACTAGCAATCGAAGGCCGGCGTGCTTCTGCACCCGTGCGGTCCATAAAGTCATGCAGCCTATGCGGGGCCAGCAAGCGCCTGTTGAGAAGCCCAGCCCCTTCCCCCGTTCCTTTTCGCGCTGCCCGCGGGGAGCCTCGCTCATGCCCATTTGCGATGGCTATCACGGTCAATCCGTATGCCTTCTTTGACGTAACGTACGTGCTGTTCTTAGAGTCTGCCCTATGAAACCTAAGTGCTTGCACAGGTTAGGTATGACCTTGGTAGGTCTGGCGGTGACCGCGAGGTGAGTGGCAGGAACCGATATGTCCATCGTACAATGCACCTAACACCCGCCCTAGTCTTTTTGGAGGTATGGCCATGCATTCTCCCCTCTTCCCGCGTCCGCTAACAGTGAGGTTAGTCTCGACCGCCCAAATGGTGTGGTACTACAAGCATTATCCCCATGACCGGAGATTCCTCAAAATGCTTGTGCGTACAACAGACCACAGCATGAAGGAGGTAGCTCACGTCCCCACAGGTGGCCCTCGTGTGGAGTTTCGACGCGTTCCACCTCGTCCTGTACTCTGCGACGAGTGAGTACTCACCTCGTCATGTCCCGGGGGAGTTGGGATTCAACCTGTCGTAGTGTGGATATACCTCGTGTTCAAGCAAGTCGAGGCGGGACCGACCCTGCTGCCTTGGTAGGAGGCTAGTCTATCTCGTGTTCGCATGGCAAACTGAACGGACCGCATCCGCGCAGGGAATCCAACGTGTGTCTCACCCTCAAGCTACTCCGTGCCTTTGCGCTAAAACGAGCACCCCTCAGGTCCAGCTCCTTTGTAACGTGGGTGTTCGAGTGACCGACCCGGTAAGAGGAAGGATGCGGCCCTGACGACATTGCAGGCCTGTGCTATTGTGACGATCCAAGCGTGAGTACCGTGTCCGCCTCGTGACTCGGTATACTCACGGAATATAACCTGCATGGTAGTTTTTATGCATATCGTATATGGACGCGTGCGTAATCGCGTTGACGGTGCGAGGAGGGTGTGTGGCTTATTGGTGTGGACAGTGAGCCAAAATCGGTACCTGGCGGCGCTGCTGGTGGGTCTGGTCGTCCGACCGCGTCGGCGCATTCTGACATCTGCTGCAGGTCACCTTCGTCCTGGGAGATTTTGGTAGGTCTCATGCTAAGACTCGCAACGATGCGACAAGTTTGACCGATGAAACGCTGGCGCGGTACAGGACTCGCGTTCGGTGCGTCAGAGATCACGTCTATCAAGCTCTGCCATGCTAAAACATTGCACCGCCCCATCTAGCACTGTTCGTCAAGAGGTACGCCGCGCGATACCACCCGCTCGTCGCTCGTGGATCTGACGAGCCTCCTTTCCGCCCAGCATAATGACGGATACTGTGCAGGATTACATAGGACTCAGCGTACGCGCACCGTCCGTTCGGCCTATCACGGATCCGAGCTGATCTCCTCTCCCAGAACTTCGACATTGCTCTGAGCTCGTTCACTGCATTCACGGATGTACTTCTATCTGGTACACTAGTGGTTCTCCTGGCCATGTCCCGAACTGGCTCCGCAGGGTGAGCTGATTCTCTCTTGTCTGACCTATGTGGTTCGCGAGGCTTATGGTCTTTATGCGCAGCGCTAATCGCCTGATAAACAAGCTGGTACGTAGCCTCGATGTACACTAGCGTCGGTCGGGGAGTTCACGTTCATCAGGTGCTGTACACTATCAACACGGGACTATTGACGAGGTATGTAAGAATGCCTCGACGGCGACCCTTGACAATAACTCACAGACCGTAGCTTATGCGCCGTTCTGTCACTTATCGCGGTACGTCGAGACTCGCTGTCACAAGTCCGACTTGCAATGTCTGACACAATTGCTCACACAGGTCGCCCTCCTGCCTACCACGTCAATCTACGTTATGTTCTACTACGTCGGTACCCGCTGTGCGTTCCCTGTGCCTCCGTATGTCCAGCGACACCTCACCTCACCTCCTACCAGTATACTCTGTATCCCTGCTGGCAACATTGAACGCCCGCGAGAGCCTGCGAATACAAGCAGAGCGCATCGGTCACGTATCACTACCCCGACTAACAAGCATATCACACGTCTCGACGAAGCAGCGCGTATGGGACGGCGCCGTACGTCCCCTGCCTCTGCCCACGTTGATACTGTCCCTGACACAGTCGGTACTCTGCAGCAATCCCGCCCACCAGACATCGTCCTTGCAATGCGGCACAGCTCGAGCGTCGCCTTCGAAGAGGATGACGACGAGGGCATCAAGGAGGTGTACCGCCGCCCGCGCAGCCATCACGAGCAGCTGGTCGAGGTGGACGAGGGCGCGTCGAGCGTGCGCGATTGGGAGCCGGTGAAGAGCGGGGAGCCGGTATGTTGATCAAAGAGACCACGCACTCGTGCCTCTGTAGGTAGCTCGAATTAATGGATGTGACTTGAAGGCTCGAAAACTGGTGTATACGGATGCTATAAAATTGCTCCGGAGTTGAGGCGAGGGCTCCCGGGTCAAGCTGCAAGTACTGCAGGTGAAATCATGCATCTGTCGATCGACTCGGAAGGGATGTCCGTTGTGCTCGTCCCTCCCACCCTCACAGAGCACATCGGAACGTCTGCCTAGGGGAGACTAAGGGGATGGTGCAGTGATCATGCTTGAGCATGGTGCCCTGCGCAGGGCGTGCATGGGATCCAGGCTCAGGCACCGGGGGGCAGTGAACGCAGTTCCGTAAAGCGATGACGCCCAAAATGGCACACATGAGTCCGGTATAGCTCCCGTACACATGCAGCAGAGAGGTGTATCCGTACCCTGGCTCACTGGCAGGCCCATTCTTGCAAACCTCACTTCCGAAGAGCGATGACGCATGAAATGGCACGCATTACCTCGGTATAGCTCCCGTGCACACATAGCAGAGAAGTGTATCCGTACCCTGCCTCACTCCAAGGCCCATTACTGTGCATAATTCGTCAGCGGGCATGCTACGGTGCAAGTCCATCCGTCTCTACGCGAGTCTTCTGCCGTCGCCCTCTCACGCGCGAGCTTCCTCTCCCACTCGGCACGTATCGAATACATAACCTTTGCGTACATCGCACGGACTCCGCCGCAGCGAGATGGTGGAGGGACTGACGAAAGACCGAACCTTGTACAAGTTACCATATCGGGACTGGTAGTAGCGAGGGGCTTATTACGTGAGTCGCGAGGCGTAAGCTAATCATAATGGAGAGCGCACCGTAAAGGTGCGCCCCCTCGTCGAGGCGGCGACTGACTGATCGTGCAAGTCGACTCGCAACCACCATGTTCAGCTCCTTTTTCTCGTGCGTGTCCTTTGCTTGCGCCGGTGCGTAGATGCTAATCGCTGTCGCCGTGCAGCACCGCGCCGCCGGTCGACCCGAACGCGCCGAACTTCCACCCCGTCTCGTCGGCGCACCCGCCGGCGGAGCTCTTTGGCGAGCTCGAGCAGAAGGACATTGAGTGGACGTGCCCCGGCGGGTTCGCGGTCGAGACGCAGACGTTCTACCACTTCTTCGAGGATGGGACGTCGATGATGTGCCAGGTTATCCACTCGGCGGTTGGGTGAGTCTCCCGATCTTCCGTTCCCTTGACGCCTTGCTCATATGTCGGATTCTTCTTGTGGTCCTGATCTACATGCGTAGCGTGTGGTACCCTACGATCCAGTTCACTTGCAAGATATACAACCCGAACACGAAGGAGAAGACCTGGAAG